CGCCGCCGCCGGCTTGGGGGACGGGGCGGGCTTGGGGGATCCGCCACCGGCCTTGAAGGGGGCGGGGCCTTTGCGGAGGGCGGGGTTCTTGTGGGTCTTCATGTCGTCTGTCACCTTCTTCAGCCCTGGAGGGAGAAACAGCGTCAGGTTTATTTGTTTGTTAGAGAAAAGAAAAGGAGAAAAGGACATTGACGAATTTCTGGTCATTTATCAACGCTGGGAAAAAGTAAGATAGACAACAACAATAACAACAAGCAACAACAAAAAACCCACCAAAAAACCCCAACAACAACAAAAAACAGCCAGTCCCGAAAAAGGACCAACCAAAAACAAAAACACAGAGGGAAGGTAACGAAGTAGGACCGGCCAGTGGCGCCCTCCAACCACCCGCACACAGTATCAGAATAATGATGGAAAAAAAAAAAAAAAAAAAAGATTAGAAGTGTTACAAGTATAAGAGTGATATAAAAAGGAAGGAGAGATATGGACGATGGATTTTTTTATAGAAAAGAAGAAGAAAACCACACCAGAGCACCCGCCAACCACCCACCCTTAACCAGGAACAGTTCACGAGACAGCATCAAGGCTCAAAATACACCAGCAGAGCGCCCACCAACACCGTACACTTCGGGAAGCGCCAGTGTTTGTTTGGGTCAAAGAGAAGGGCCCCGGCACAACGGCGGTCACTCGGTGCTGAGAAAAACAAGGCCAGGAGACAGAGGGGAAGTGAAAAATAGAGAAGTAGGACCTACCAGTGGCACCCTCCAACCACCCACACCACACAGACAGGAACAACGGTTTTAATATTTTTATTTAGTTAGCGTTTTACGGAACTTGCAATACAAGATTAGGTCACACATGTGTGCCGAAGATGACAATTTTTGTTTTAGTAAGTGTTTTACAGCACTTGCAACACAATTAGGTCATACAAGTGTGCCGAAGACTAGAGGTGTTACAAGTATAAAGAGAGTAACACAAAAAGGAAGGAGAGATATATGGACGATAGATGCTTGATAGAAAATAAGAAACAAAAACCACACAAGAGCACCCGCCAACCACCCACCCAGGAACAGGTCATGACAGCATCAACGCTAAAAATACAGCAGCAGAGCGCCCATCAACCAAAGATTATTCCCTAGAGGAGAATCTTTGCATCAACACCGTACACTTTGGAGGCGCGTGTGTTGGTTTGGGTCTAAGAGAAGCGCCTCGGCCTATACTATACGTTCTTATAGTATCTCTGACTGTCTAGGCCTCGGCCTATACTATACGTTCTTATAGTATCTCTGACTGTCTAGGCCTCGGCCTATACTATACGTTCTTATAGTATCTCTGACTGTCTAGG